ATTGTTGTTCGAAGTATTCGATCCAACGACTGAGGCGTTGTTAATTCGAGATGATCACTCCTTTCCGATCCTTGATGGTTTCACTCAGGTGGTTTCCGGAGACCGGTCGCACGGGTCAACTGAAATAATCTTCGGGCACTACCGGCTTTCTGGGCCTCTTCCATTTCCGTGGCTTTCTGTGTCCACCATACTTCAATGTCGGCTCGCGCGCTCTTTTTCACTTGACGTCTGATAACTCTTGGCACCGGGTTATGTTCGGGACCAGCTGGGATATTTCTCCGAGATTTAAGCAGTGCCACCGTTTGGTCTGATATCCAGTGTTTAAGTGTGCCTGGTGGTCCCGTGCCACAGGCAAAATTCTCAGCATTATGGAAATAGGTGGCGATCTCGTCCCAGTATGAGTAAATATTCGATGGTGGAGCATTTGGAAGAGACTCCAGAAAGCGATTATGGTAAGTTTGTCTAACATCCGGATATGCCAGTCTTTCAGTTGCCAGGCGGTTTATCCGCACCTTATGCGGCCCAGGAAAACGTATGAAGAAGCGACTCCGGGCGAGCACGTGGTCGGAATCCACAAATGTGTTCCAAAAAGACCGGCAGTCAGTTATTGATCCTCGCCATCGGTAACTGATGGCAATGTGGTCGATTTGAGTTTGTGGCCGGCATGCCGTCGGAGCACACCATGTGACCAGGCGACTTCGGCTACTTCGGAACTTATTACTGTATAAAGGCAACCTGCGATCAGCACACAGCTGAAGCAGTCGTTCCCCATCGTCCGTGCGTACTGAGTCCAATCCATGTCAACCTCCTAATTACGTCTAGGATACACTAAGCCTTCCCGCGTGTGCATTCATATCTCCGGCAGACACCATCATGTCTGAGCTTTTAGCTCGCCTCAGCAGGGCGTTCAGGGCGTCTGAGCTACAGTCAGTTGGGGTGTAGGTAGACACGATAAACAGACATCTATCAACTTGCCGCTTGTGAGACTCCTTCACAGACGTTACCAGATGAACCGCACAGAGACGAGTATCAACAGGTATCCAGTCAAGTAAGGATGCTTCCGCCCTTGTGACTTAGCACGATACCGACCCCTCTGCATCCCGCCGCAGCAGCCTCTGGATCACCAGGGGTGCGCAGCCGGTAGCGGGTGGAGACTGACGGGGTGGTTAACTCAATCACTGTGCTTGCATTTTGGATTCTCGTTTCTGAGACACGGCATACGTCAATGCCAAACGAATCCAGTGTGAGTGCAAGAGCAGCTTATTGTCCTACTTGCTTCAGAGTTTGGACAGATAGACTGGGTGTCGAGGCTTGAGGACTGATTTGGAGATACCTGAGGATATCGGCGCCACGTGACGAGCATATGTTGCACGCAAAAACGATGCAAGAGGATCGAATTCATCAGTCCTAAATACTGGGCCTACAAGAGGAGGGTTATTAATGGGGTGGGGAGAGGGGAGAAAAGTATGTAAAGGAGAAAGAAGGGAGGCGTCAGTAGTAGCCTGTTTTTGCTTGCCCGCCCTACTGTATGCAGCAAGCAGGGCGACCGAATGATGGCACCATGAGACGGCCGACGTGGCATGAGTTTATTTGTATGTGTGCTGTTCATGGTTGCACGTGGGGTGAGATACTGTCAGGGCGCCCACACCTATAGAGGACGATTAGGTTCCTCAACCAAAGCTTTTAGCTCAAAAGCCTAACCGCAAGGCAGCGGTGTTTGGCGGGATTTGCAAATACGGAACAATTCGCCACATGTTCAAACTCCCAACATGGATGACCAGGAGACTGCTTTCGTCAGACCTCTAGCCATCGACAAAACTGGTACGAGAGACTCTCTGAATGTCTCGGGGACACTCCCCAGTATAGCTCAGTGGATCGCTGAGGTGCGGAAGCCGTCACACTACGGTAATGTCTAGTCTCTTTGTGACGGTGACAGACAGCACACATCAATGCAGAGGATACCAAGCTTACGAGCAGAAGTCGCTCGTTGTTCTGCCCACCCCGGTGTCCGAATACTAAAGGCGGTTAAGTAGATTGGGTCCCTGGGCCTACTCAAGTGGCTTCCTTTAGCACAAACCTTGGAACAGCTCAACAATCTTGAGTGGAATATTAACACCCGCCCGTTGTAAAGACCAGAAATCCGGCGTGTGGTATTACTCCTCCAGCCACCGAGACCGGCTTGTCTGGAACCTGAACTCTTCGAATAAGGTGGTGGGGTCCTGGTGACGCTACTACGACAGCTTTGGAACGAAAACAATGTACCAGTGGAATGGAGCACGTCGACCGTCATCCCAAGCTGAAAGAACGGTGAAGAACCTCGCACGAAGACCATCGTGGCCTGGTATCCGCATCCCGGGTACTCTGTGCCATTATTTTGCGCAGGCTGACCGATTATCAGGGGGAGAAACTGGTAAGGATTAAGCTGGGTTTCTCTCTGGCCAAGGATTCATCTTCCAGACGTCCCACACTAGCCGTTTTTCTTAGCCTGGAAACTGATTTTGACTCTGTCGATTGTCAGAAGCTGTTGCGCTGTTTGGCGGTCAAAGGTATCTTGCAAATTTTTATCCCTTATCGCCCAGCTGTAACACCCTTCCGGTACCGTGCTGCCATGCCACCCAAAGGAAGCGCGAGGGCTGAGGTACCGCCAGGAGGCCCAAGCCTAGACAGGAAAAGTTGAGAGGCAGAGGTCGGGTTCAAACCACAGACCTTTCAGTCAGTGAATTTGCGCCCTAACCATTTGAGCCATCTCTCCGTTACGAGTGTACTGTATGCGACCTCCCATGGGCGCATACGAGTATACAGCAAGTTTCCGCCTGAGCTCACCGCATTCAGTGTTATAAGACAAGGCTGACCTCTCTCATCATTCCTCTTCAAGTTCGTTATTGATGTGCTGCTTGAAGCTCCCGTGCTTGCCTCCGAGACCCAAGTGCCCCCGAGTTGTTTGCTCATAGACATTGAGCATGCAGACGTTGTTGCTATTCTTGCTTCATTTCCTCCAAACATGTAAATCATTCTAAATAACCTCAATAATTCTGTCGCCCGGTTTGGTACCTGAAAAGTCTGGAGTACTGCTGCTACAGGGCTTAGTGGGATCAAAACCAAATCTCGTGCTTGCAGACGGGCCAATCGATGTGGTAAATTCGTTTACACGGACAGTTGTGTAAGCTCTAGTAAACTGGCCTGAAACGAGATTATTTCTTGCAATTCAGTGAGGTAGGTGTACTAACTCTGACGGAAATGTGTCTGATGAAGTCATTGCAAGCTTATCAAAGGCTCGAATCACGTTTGTTAGTTTGCATCACTTGTGGCGTTAAAGGACATGTCTTAAGGGTCGCGTGTACCGGGCTACAGGAAGGGATGTGTTGTATGGGTGCGAGACATAGCCCACGCGGACAGCTGACTTGAGGTGTCTTCAGCTTTTTTACTCCCAATGCCCCGGAAGCGTTGCTGGTTTTGGATGGTGCCAGCGGATTAGTAATGAAGTGATTGGAAAACGGGTATTATGTTGTGCGGCATGTACTTCAATCACGGAAAGCACCCAGCACCATCAACTTTTGTAGCTTGGTCATGTGCTACGCATGCCGAAACACCGTCTACCCACATGACGATTGTTGGTCCTCGTGCCTCCTTCAGATTGGCGCGAATCGCGGCGTCGACAACGTATGACTTGGCAGAAGGGCGTGAAAGAGATTACGAAGAGTTCGGGTGGTGTTGGTGTTGTACGCCTTCAAGGATTGGGACCCCGCGTTTGCTTGGCTGAAGACATTGTGAGAAATGGTGGCTGATCGACGTCAGTGGCGTTCGTACTGTCAGTTTCTTTCCAGATTGTCTGACTGTGCTCTTGAAGGTGTGGGCACTTCAGAATGCTTGACGTAGGCCAGCAGTAGGTCCCTTCCCTCACCCACTCTTCCTCTTTTTCACTCATGGCTTTAAATAGATGATGATGGGCAGTGTAGAACCATTCTTAACACTTACGATACCGTCTCTGGTGATGATGACGCGAACGGGAACATCTACTGAGATGAGTGTTGATCTCTGCCACAACATCCGGAATGGCGCTAACCGGGAGGTTGGCAAAATATAACTTTTAAGGGGGATGTAAAAGAGAGCATGAAGAGTTTAGTTTGTTGTTGGGCGATCCGCCTTCAGGATATGGTCACCGTACCCCCGTGCTTCATCGTTGATAGCTGCACCAGAAGGGACGCTGGTGCTTCACCGCGTTAAAACCGTGTCAATTTATTTCAATGAGGCTTTGTTGTCGATAGAAAAAAGAAACTGGGCAAGGAACTTGATCTATCTTGCTAAGTTGTAGCTTGAGGTAGCTCCGTTTTTGAGGCGCGAACATACCAGAAGCTCCGTGGTTGAACCCAAACTTGGCTTTCTTTGGATGGCATTGTAGCGAGGCACCGGAAACGTGCTACAGCTGAATGATGAGTTTTCCAGTGTTCATCTTTGTAATGGTCATCAATCAGTTTGATCTCCATTCCCTCTGTGATATTTGACGTTGCAAGCAAAATCGCGCCCCCATTTGTCGACGCGTATGGCGCGCTGCGATCCATGATATTCATGGAACTGGCTTGTATTTCTCTGCAAAGCAAGCACCTGTCAACTTACGAATTCCCCAAGTCCAAACAACTCGCCGAATTTCCCTGAGTTATTGATAAATCTCTCATTTTGGGTATCGTTCAATTGCATTCGCATTTATTGATCGTAGAAGAAGCGCTGCATGAAACCCGGTTAATGTTTTGGACAGTATCCTCACAAATCCTCCAAACGAACATCCTAATCACTTCTGTCTAACGTCGCTTAGTACGTTTCAAGTGGGAGCACAGTCCTTATTGACGGTTAACTATAGAATAAGTTGAATAGTGCGCATGACTGTGTGACTGTCAACTTTTCTTGGTGTTTAATTCCGTTTCTGTTACTTTTTATAGCTTAACTTGCCTCTTTTTTCTTGCTCTGCTCACTCACTTTTCAGCTGTACATCGGCTTCCTTTATTATGCTGGGCCTGGACCTTCGAGATAGTCGCTTGAAAGATGTTATTGGTATGTTTTTCATGCCGTCCGCTTATAGATCACGATACAGAACCACTGGAAAAAGGTAATTTCAAAAAAGCTCTCCTAGAGGTCAATAAAGTCTTGAGGAAAACACCGAGTTGTTCTACATCGAAGGTGTGCCATTGCCATCCCTTTTGCTTTAGTTCCTAATCAGCTGTTAAAAGCTCTTGTACTTTTGAAGTCCGGCAAAACCACGGAAGCTGTTACTTTGGCCGAGGAGATTATTGCTGCCTACCCAACAGATGAGTCTACACTCAACGTTGTGATGTGTTACTTTCGTGAGACTGGGCAGACACATCGAGAAGCTGAATACCTGAAGACTGCTCTTAAAAAGTGCCCTGATCGTGAAGACTTGCTCGTTTATCTCTTCCTGAATCAGGTACAGTCGGGTAGCTTTGCTGAACAGCAGACTACGGCTCGGCTTCTCTCTCAACAATTTCCTTCTCGCTTGTACATATATTGGGTGATTGTAAGCACTACCATGCAAGCCGAAGCCGATCCTGTCCTAGGCAAGCGGATGTATCTCCCACTGGCTGAAAAGATGCTTCTTCGTGAAGTCAGTGCAAATAAGATGAGAAAGCATTCGGAGTTCCAACTTCTGCTAGACGTCCTTCGACGTCTGGAGAAACAAAATGATGCTCTGCAGTTTTTGAATAATAGTACTCTCACTGGTAAGTTCCTCTGTTAGCTTCGAGCACTTTACTATTTCAGATCGACTTGACGAATTGGACTATCGCTGTGATTATTCCATTGAACGTTTGAATCTTCATGTTGCGCTTGACCTATGGGAGGGTGCTTTCAAGCTTGGCGAGGAGAAGCTCAACCAAAATCCAAACGACTGGAACACATGGAAGTGTCTGATTGAATTATCCACTGCACAAAGTACCCGTGACCTCAATGCGCTTCGGTAAGCTTTTCCAATTAGTGTGTGGGTTACAGTTGAGAGACTCATCGGTCCAATAGTATCACATGAATGCGCTGGAGTGTCGTCTCATCCACCTTCACCACAAGCTGACACCGTGTGATTAGTCGAAGTATTCAGGCGTATTCAGACAAGTAATTGTTAACTGGTCGAATGGGTCGGCGGACTATTAATAATAAATTTGGTGCACCTCTAGTTGGAATATCACCTCGCTTAGGTCGAGCCACAGGGTCCAACACGCGTGGAACTGACTGAGGAAACTATCTAACTTTGATGGCGTACAAAATAGGTTCAAGTGAGTTTACATGTTGCTTTACTTACATAAGGACACAACAGTGGTTACCCCTGCGTATCTTGGGGCCTAACTTATTCTTGTCATTCCTATTGTTACTACTTTTAACGAGGAACTTATCACTAATGTGGCTTATGGGGTTTCCTTTTACACCTGTTGTCGTCATCATCAAGTGAAACCAAAGTCTCGTTCTTTAAACTACCGATCGTTTGAAGGCTTGAATTCAGGCTGACTCAGATATACACTGGTGGATGCCTGTATCAGCTTCAGTACTGGTATTCAGATAGTAAGACACGGGTCAACCCACAGGTTCTCTCATCATACACTCCATGAAGAAATTACACGACAGCGCCGTTTTGAAATACAACTCTCCTAAATTCAACCTCAGAACGTGGAAACTTCACTGGTTAGTTTGCGCAGCATGATCATATCTACCTACCAACTTTTGGCTTATAAAACGTGTCTCCCAAAGTGTGAGCTCCAGGTGGCTCAGTGGTTAAGGCGAGGACCCATTGACGAGGAGGTCCGTGATTCAAAGACAATCACGGCATTTTGAGCGCTACCGTCTAGGCTTGGACAGCCTAACAGCATCTCAGCCCTTTTGCCTCTTTTGGCTAGCATTGCAGCTAGGTACGAAGAGGGTGTTGCATCTAAACGGTTATTTGTTTTTCTTATCATTATCTTCAAAGTACATTTACAATCCAGCATCTTGGTCATGTTTTTGTGTACATTCACCTGTGCTCTGGCAGAGTCTCAGCTCTCGTGTGGGTTGCGGTACAGCCTTCTAGAATACACCGAAGACCATCAAATAAAATTGACCAGAACTGTTGAAAAAGCCTATAAAGAGATCTGCATTTCATCTTTGACTTTTGTTTCGTACACGGTATGCTCATGATATTTTTTTGCGTACTTGGAGGGGAGAATAGAATCTGAATCCGGTATACAGTTGCATAATAAGCATACTAACAGGCATTCGTCATTCTTCGCTAAAAAAATCCAATATCCCCTAGAATTGGACTACCTATCCTCACCCATGACGTTATGCTCCTCACTACGGATATAATCGATTTTCTAATAGAGATTTTCTGTAACTGAAGCTGTCTCATCCTCATTGGAAATCTTCATCACTGTACGCCTGACGAAACTCCAGGGAGTCTCGAACCTTTGGTGTCCCGGTTATTGGTCTAAACAATCAGTCGTTCGGATACGAGCGGCTGTTCAGAAATGTGATGAACTCGCACTTAAATAGCCTCTCAGATAGAAGTTTCGCTCGTATTAGTTTCTTCTACCTCTGAGTGTTGGTTACTCGTCCTTCTTCGTCTCTCGGGGGACCAGCCAACAAGTGACCACCTGTGTTCCCGTGATTGAAGGACTAGTGGTGCTACATCCTGCTTAGTTGCAGGTTAATCACACTGTTGATTAGCTGCTCGTACTAGAACGGTTTATTCTTCAGCTGCTAGCCAGGAGGTTGCGGCTCCAAGCTCTGGAGTTTCGTGAGATGCGCACTGTTGACGATTCACATTAGGGCAAAACAGCTGTCCAGTGCTTTTCGGCTTTTCAGCATAGATTGGCTTCACTTACGGGACGAACTGTTCAATAAAAATTTGAATAGCTTCCATCACCAACAGCTTGTTGACTTCCATCGTACAATGAAATTTAGGTACTGAAAAGTCAAGATTTCATCTCATTTTCGCTCCAGCGGTGCTTATCTGCGGAAATACTATCTTTTGAGGCAGGAATTCACTTGACTTCGCTTGTCAGGGTTGGCTTCAGTGGCAGGTGCCGTGACTGCGAAATGCCTGCCTGATTCGTCGTCGCATGCGTAACCTGAAGGGGATACCGAAGCTAATACACCACTTAGGCGTATCGCCCCGGAAAACAAGGGAGGTTTTATGCTTCATGGCTGTAATGGTCCAGAGGCGCAAGCGTTAGCATTGGACCCTGGATGACAAGCATGCGGAAGGGTGTCATTTCGTTCATCTTGAGCAGTGAAATTAGGTTTGATCCAGCGAACAGAGTTTTATATCACTTGACGTGTTTCAGAACCTACGAATGATATGGTGAGGTTGAACCTTGTATTGTCATTTAATGTCCCCCGTAGGGAACATGATAATCGAGCCACTGCCTGGATGACAAGGTCCACAACTCAGGGAGTTAGTGAGCACATCTTTAAAAAAACGCCTGTGATTTCTGGTCCTCTCACAGCTGAAAATATCATGTATACCTAAACTGTTTGTTTTAGACCAACCAGTAGCCAGTATCTGACCCTGCTGTTTGACCCGGGACGACTAAAGTTCTCCCTAAGTATGATAGTCTCTCTGGGATGTCGCTTATCCAACACCAACTATCAGACCTTCTGCAGCCTGTGCGTCTTGTGCAGTCGTCCACAAACCGACAGTTAATCTGAATTTCTGCCCGGAGGTCAGCCGTCCCTAATAACCTAACATCACAATAATTGGACGGATGTGTCACGTTCGGGCTATGGACCAAACGAAGACATGCCCTGACTGGTCAGAATGCCAGCCGATCTGGATTGAGCATCTTTAGCTCGATCGTTAAGTTGAATCCCCTTGAAAGTTACGGAGCATTTAGCTTCCCAGTCGGTTTGAGGCTTTCACCAGGTACATTACGAGTGGTGCACTTTGTGTATTCCACTGGTGGTCTTCCAGTTACGTCCCAGTTACGTTTTGTAATCAAAGTGAAGTCAGTACCTGTATCAAATTGAAGGGTAGCCCGGTGTGCCATTAATACATACTGTGACAAATTTATGTCGACCGGGTGATTTCATCCTGGATATTGCTGTCATGGCCTCTGCCTGCGTCCTTTTGTCGGGTCGGTGTTTGCGCGAGCTCCTGAAGTTGTCTGTGCAACATTCTTCTTTGTGACCCTTTCGGCTGCACTTGCTGCACCTGTGGTTCCGGTGGGGACAGTGGCGTGAATAGTGCCGTTTTTTACAGAACCAACAGGGTATGGGCGGTTTTCTTGGAGTTCGCTTAGAATTTGACTTCCTTTCGGAAGTTATTCAGCATACCATATCAGGCTGACAGAATTTGGAATTCCAATCAGTGCAGCATCAGCCTTGATATTGATAAGATGCTATCACTCGGTGGTAAGTTTCTGAAGCGTCAACTCTGGATCCTGTTCAATTCGATTCAATATCCGGGTCCGAATATCTGCTTCATATGGCGATTGATGACCAGCCTTGAAGATGAGACACTTGAATTGATCGTCGGTTATGGTGTTGAGCTGAAAGCGCTCACATTCTTTATTGACCACACCGGCATAAGTGATAAAATCTTCGATATTCATTTTTGTAATCTTGAGACACTGATAACGAATATTGAACAATGAACTTTTCTCACCGAATATGTGGGTCAGAATCCTGACAGTATCTGCGAGACCAAGGTCACAAGGGAGTTTGAGGAGTATGAAATCTGTGAACCGATTGTATTCACCTGTCCCCAGTTTCCGCAGCAACAGTCGAACTTTCATGCATCATCAAACTGAGCAAAGTCGGTTTGAAACATATCTTCATATGTATTGAACCAAGTTTCGAACGTCCTTTCAGATTCAGCGTTGAAATCGAATTCAATAGTCGAGCTGGCAGCAGCAGCAGCAGCTGTGGAAGAAGACGGAGACCCAACTGCTTTTGTCGAATTCACCGACATGCTGCGCACCAGAGTTTCAACAAACCTCATTTGAGCTCCTTCAATCTTCTTCTGTTACTGCTGTAGCATTATTCGGAGTTGTTCGGCCGAAACGGACATTGTGGGTTCGGTTTGTCGCCAGTTGTGGCTTGCTGAATCGGTCTTGCAACTCTGTGTTGGTCCTTGGCTTCCTGCTCTGCCCACCGTGGTATATCAACAGGCACAGTAGCTTCAAATAGCTCTTCACGGAGACAAATGAAGATTATCCCAACTGTATTTATAGGACAATCACAGAATGTTCTTGGAGAGTAATTAGTCTTGGTTTATCTTTGTGGTTTGTCTTCATTTTCTGCTTGCCTCTCCTCTAACCTGATTACCACTTCAGCGCATGCATGGTTTTACAGCAGTGAAGCATCGGTGTTGAACACTGATTTCATGCTGTCGATAACGATTATGGAGAACTTGTCCTTCCCTATTACGTTGGAGTTATGAGGAGAGTAGTGCGACGTCATTTGATTCTTCATTTACATGTCTTTTGAATAGTCCACCAAAATACCCTCGTATTTCAACAGCATGTAACTGAGACAATTCTCCCGTTGTGTTTGCACGAAAGTGCATCGTAGATGTTTCACAGAATACCACAAGGTTAGCTTATGGAGTATTCTTTACTTGTGTTACGGTGTAGTATCTGACATTGACTAAATTGAAGCTTATGTTTTTTCTTTTCCACTCATTGTAGTATCGATCGCTTGGATTCATTGCTCAGCACCTTTATGGACAGACATCCAAGCGTTCGCGGCCCTCACTTGGCCAGATTGGATCTGTCAGCAAACCTGCTGCGTCGAGGCTGGGATCTTCCACACAATACGGATGTCTCCTCCCTACTATATTCGTATATAAACAAATTCGCCGTTAAACCGATTTGTGCATTTGATGTGGCCTATTTGCTCCCGTTGTTTCTACCCTCTGAGGCAGAGGTAACTCAGGTATGTAGTAAGCGTCTAATTGGTTGGACTTCCTGATTAATCCACTTGCTGGATAGTTAAAATTAGTTGAGGGAGAGTTTTATCCGCGGCCAAACGATCCCGCTTTGACTGATTCAGCCCAATTTGTGATTTAACAGAAAAATACGAAGCTGTAACCAACAAACTCAGTTGTGTCGCTAATTTCCGCCTCCTTCTATGGAGTCCCTGATGTGAATCAGAATATATTTGGATGTCACCCAGCCACGCGCATAGTGAAGTGCATTCATCTAAGTTGCTGCCTTGAATGCACAAAGGCAGTGAAGCATCACTGCTGAACACTGATATCATGCTGGCGATGATGATCATGAATACACAACTACCGTTTTCACTCTCTTCATCAATCTCGAACGCCCAATACTATTCCTGGGCTTACCTTTTAACGACATTAGCCATTTCTCCCAGTATGTGGTCATCCATTCCGTTTCCCCTCTCTTCATGAACGAAGTTTTGACAGCTAGAACTACAGTGCGACCTATGCATGGTTTACAGCTGATGATGGTGACATTGGGCTCATGTGTCTCAAGAGATCACCCGAGTGGATTCAATTCTTCAAACCCATTCGCTTGTCACGGATTTTGCTCCTATAACAATTTACGACTTGTCTACTTTCAGTTTGTATCGTTTGCCACAGTTCGAAGTCTGTGGTGTCTGCGATCCCACATTCCCCCTATATTCTAATCTAACATAACTAGCGGAGTACTTTAAGTTCACGATGTGGGGACGCTGCCCCTCAACTCGCTTATGATGGTATTTTTTCCGAGATGTAAGGACGTCTTCCAAAGATCCTTTTCTTTGTTAACCACTCTTATCCACAGTTTTGCCCAATAATTTGTATTATATAATGGTCTTCAACAGGGATGATATAATATCCCTTCTATCTTCGAATCTTTATAAGATGCATCATCAAAATTCACTCCTATTAGCACTTCGAAATGTCGTTTAGTTCGGGTGTATGTCTGAACCGTGGCTATTAGAATTCAAGTTCACGAGGATCTCACTTTCTAGACACTGTTAGCTTATACACATATCTGTAGACTAGTCGTGACCATCATACGAATGTATTGTCAATGCTTCGCGATAGATAGTTCATTGTGTAAGTTGTTAAACCAGTGAGCATCTGTGGCAATGCCTCGCCATACCTAACTCCCCCCTTATTCCTTTGGTTCTTGATAATTTCTGCATCCGACAGTGACTTACAACACATTCGTACGTTCCATTCTTCTTTCTCAACGCACGGATTTGGTCTCTTCTTCGAGAGGTAAACGGTCCAGAGAGAGTAACCGTCATGTCCATCACCTTGATGTCATAGCACATGGTTGGCGAATACTATCCAGCCAGCTCTATCTGGTGGAGACTGCAGCTGGAACGTCCAACCTACTACTAAATCATTTTTTCGTGTTTATACCTGTGTCACTCCATGGAGGCTAAGTGCACGGGATATTCTTGTTGCGTAGAAGTCAGCTCGCGAAATTTCTTGTCTCCAGTCTTTGTAGATGTTTCACATAAGAGGGTTCGTTCCTTCTACAGCGTAAAACTGGAGTCGCCGGAATCGTCCCTTTCCTTGAGTTGCTTTTCAGATGAAAATTTTGTAAGAAGGAAATGTTATGTCTGCCTGGGTGCTTTTCACTTGTGGACGCGGCACTGTTCAAATTCGGCTTGCTTGGTGGTGAAGTTTATAGCTGGTAAATGCACCTGGATATATTCTCTTTGAAGAGGAACCTATACACCGCAGTATGAATTCCTTCGGGTTCGTTTTTTGAAGATAACACTCTCGACTAGTGGATGTTTCATCAGTGTGTGCGAATCCCTATTGAAAATCATCAAATCTCCCCAGCTTATCAATAATCCATAAATAGCTCAGGAGAAAAATAATTTCACAAGATGCGCGAAATTCCGTCCCGAGAACTCGTCACTCGAGGAACCAGTCAATACGTGACCACGTGTTTCCGATAAGCCTCGGCACTGTTCAAATTCGGCTTGCTTGGTGGTGAAGTTTATAGCTGGTAAATGCACCTGGATATATTCTCTTTGAAGAGGAACCTATACACCGCAGTATGAATTCCTTCGGGTTCGTTTTTTGAAGATAACACTCTCGACTAGTGGATGTTTCATCAGTGTGTGCGAATCCCTATTGAAAATCATCAAATCTCCCCAGCTTATCAATAATCCATAAATAGCTCAGGAGAAAAATAATTTCACAAGATGCGCGAAATTCCGTCCCGAGAACTCGTCACTCGAGGAACCAGTCAATACGTGACCACGTGTTTCCTGCCGATAAGCCTCCACACGTGACCACGTGATGTGGTTCATGTAAGTGGCGCTATGTCCCGTCTAAGTGGGAGCCAATCACACTGCTGATCGGCCACCTGTGGACAAGCGGTTAAATTTTCAACCGCTAACCGGAAGATTGCGGTTTGAAACTCGTAAGATGCGTACTGCTGTTGACTCCCAACAAGGATAAAACACCTGTACAGTGCTTCTTGGTTTTTCCGACTGGGTGGACTGGCAAAAACTGGTTTCATTGACAGGATGAAATCTCTGTTAAATAGTAACAAACCTCGCATCATCAACAATTATGCAAACAGTGCTTATTTCCGCAGTTCAATGTCTCCACTGTGTTCTGAGTGCACCATGACCTTGTTAGAGGGACATATGATGGATTGTCTCGAATATGAGCATTGAATGAGACAGCCATCCGTATCTGAGCTGATTTCGTCGGGTCGCGCCAACTCGGTTTCATTGAGGGTTCAGTTGCACCGAAAATTGAGCTGTCTTTTTAAGAATTGCTTAGCGAAACTCAGTAGCATTCGCGCCATTCGGATGTTAGTGCCGCTTAAACTGATTGGTTCAAGTGACGGACGTGCTTAATTTTGACAAGCTGTCTTCATCTACAAGCTGTTTTGTCTGATACTAAGTACCGGTCAGCTCATCCGCGTTGGTAGTGCCAGCTGCGCAGCGTTATGGTGAAAATATTCTGGGGTATCCAGGAGAGAGTCCGACGAATAACTGTGCTATCGAATGAGGCCAGAAGGTGAAGCGATCCAAACAAGTTTGGTCAGATTCCTAATCGCCGAAAAATGAGACAGCCAATTGGACAGAATTTCCCCTTAAGAGAACAATGTGAAGTTTTTACTGTATGTTGAACAAGATGTATCGTCATTAGTTGGGGGAGGTTCTACTGCTACTCTATATTTTGTTGTCGGAAGCTATTTATATTCATTTAGCCGCACGCAAGGTGAGGAGCTAACAAGCGACATACCACTGTTCAGGTCTAGCCACTTGTCGTCCTATTTGTCAAAGCAAAGGAGCGCAGCCCCCGTGTTCTAACCATGGTTTTACCGTTTAGCTTGATTTTACTGAATTTTTCCGTATTCCACCTCTGGTTCCTATTTCCCCATTTCCTTTAGCGAAATTATGTTCTCTCTGGCTCGTAAGACAGTTTGTGTAATCTAAAATCTGAGATAGATGGTAGTAAAATTCGAGTAGTATTTCAAGGGTTTCTCAATTTCCTCGAGGAATTCGGATCTTTTCTCTAAGTTGTCCTTCCGTCCCCCAGGTTGAATTGACAAATATCAGGTCACATGTACTTTGACTACTATTCATCAACTAGCAGTGTAGTGGAATAACGACACCCCGACTGGGTGGTCATCGAAATTCTCGTCGAAAAGGGTTGCATGCGGCGTCTGCTTTGCTGCTGCAGGTTCCAGGCACACTTGCAACTGCACCGTGTGCATCACTCCGGCGAACGATACAAAACTGCTATGATATTCCTTCAGTGGAACGCGAACCACTCCCGCCAATGTGGGTACTGAACCTGAGGAAGATTATGCGAGGTTTAGGGAGCCGACGGACTGATCGAAGGCTACTGCTAACCCACGAGGTTGTATGATTAGATTTATAAACGAGGGAGTGCTCTCATACTTCGTTTTCAGGTCATAAGCTGTCCACCTATCGATCACTTTTACTCAGCTCAGGATTGGGCGAAAAGAACCCCGTCCAGAAGCTCCCACCTTGCCTGGTGGTTGGGCTGGTGTGCTGCAATGATCATGCGGGCAACATTGGCTGGAGCTTATTTCTTTTAGCTTCAGCCACACCAGGAAGGTCAACGGCGAGCAGCCCGACGAAGAGCAGGAGTCCGTATACTGCGGGAAGTGATATCACGAGGTGGTCTGGAGCTAAAGTCATACTGTTCTTCGCGATAGGGACGTGGAATCATCCTCCCCCCCAAAAAAAAGACATGTGCCTTCAGGCTAAGCCAGTCTTGCAACTAACTGGACCAGACTGTTGAGTCAGTGGCTCCGGACAGGGTCTCCAATTGGAACCCCACTACTCGCTTCCTTGTGAATCGGACTCGAATCAGAAGCTTCGGTGGAGGTACCTAAACAAAACCGTATATTCTCTCATCGCCTTGTAGGTCAGTCGCGTAAGTCAAAGGCTCAAGGAGGGATACCTGAAACAACCCCTTCATCGGCTGGGTAACCGTGTGGTATCGTTCGCCCTAACAACTCTTCGTTCACCGGCCCTCATCCACATCCATCCATTAGATGATGCAACGCGGTCAATCCATCAAATCATTTTTCACTGTCTAATCTGTTAAGACGAGTACTTTACTAATGTGGCTAGTTAATCGCACTTGAAACGTCTTGGTTAAATGTTTGTATTTCTGAACTTGGGTCACACTATTCTAGGTTAATTTTGCCATCATTTTATTCCATACACTATTTTTGTTCAGAATTCCTTGGGAACCGAAAGTCTGTTTTTGGAGTCCTAGTTTAGTGGAAAATTTCACATTGAAAAGCTTGTTTTCTAATCATGCGTTTCTAATATCTTGATGTGGTGCTTGTATGTGTTTGTGGGTGGGCACACAACACAAGAAAGCACTAGTTCCGTTTGTTTTCCGTGACTGGGGCATAACGCTCAGCTGATGGATCCTTTTTTCTTTTTGTCTGTATGCCCTTTGACCACAGTTCCTTTCAACTCTAATGCGCGATAACGCGGAAACGGAAATACAGGTACGTATGTCTCTTAGTGCTCTTATTATGGTATTCGAGATCGCAGTTGGTTTTTAGTATATGATCCGGTTACCTACTACGGCCATAAACACGGGGTCACAGTGTTCATGTTCTCATGAGTTAACCGTGGAAATCACTTTTTGTCATCCATTTCTTTTAACCTCTGCCATTATTTAACCACCATCGTTAGAATTGCCTGATATAACTCCTCGGAATGAGTCTAAAGCTTTACTGAAGAAATTGTCGTCATTAACTTCTTCGATTAAAGATGTTTTCAGTACAGCGGTCGTGAGAATGGCTAACACTTTTTGGAGGCTGTTTAAAGTTGCAAACTCCTGATGGTTAGCACTGACTTTTATGGCAGCACGGCTACCTGTTTTGCGTCCGCGCGTAGCTGGCTCCGGATTGCTGTGAATGTTCTAAATTGTCGCTCAGAACTAGGGATTGAGTTCAAAATGACCTTGAATCGACCAAAATCGGTGCGATTCACACTGTCTGTGCATCCTTCAGAAGTGCGCTAACTGTGATGTGGACAACGAGTGAGTTAGCAGAAGGATGTGAAAGAGGCGTCTAGGTGTTGTTGGTGAGGTCTGCCTCCGATGATGGGGTCTCCATGACCTCTCTGCGTTCGGTTGGAGAATTGCATGAAATGGCGGCTAGTCATAGCGTTCGTGCTGTCAATTTCTTCCCAGGTTGTCTGATTGAGCGCTTGGAGATGTAGGCACCTCAGTATGTTTAAGATAGGTTCTTCACTCACTCACTCACTCACTCACTCACACACTCACTCACTCACTCACTCACTCACTCACTCACTCAC